CCTTTCCTTTCCTTTCCTTTCCTTTCCTTCCTTTCCTTTCCTTTCCTTTCCTTTCCTTTCCTTTCCTTTCCTTCCTTTCCTTTCCTTTCCTTTCCTTTCCTTTCCTTTCCTTTCCTTTCCTTTCCTTTCCTGACCACTTCACTGGCATCTACAGAGAATTCAATATGCATTAAACTATGAGTATTGTTTTCCACAGACCTTAAATAAGCTATTAAGTCTCCATTCACTTTCCCTACTTTTGCTTCACTCTACCCTGAAGGGTTCCTCCTGGAGAGACACAATGAGTTGTCTATATACCCTATTTTCTATATTTTGTAAATTTTAAACTAAATGAACTAAAGCATTGCTCTTTCTGCCATCTAGTTGTGCTTAATAAGTTCATACTATCATGAAATCTAAGGTAATACCAATTTTAATACGAGAACTTTCAGGATTCTCCTCCTTTAAAAGCCTTTTGAGGACAAACACCATACAGATACAGGAACAGATCACTGAGAAGCCTCTTCCTCCAAACACCAAGAAGTTTATATTAAAATTCAGTTTACTTGCCAACAAAGAAGCAACTATAAGGACTGCTACAAGAAAAAAAAATAGCCCAGGCAGATTTTTTAGAAGCATATGATCTCTTATTCACATGGTACCAGAGAATGGTGCATTTGTGGACTTCATTATCCTCTTCTGACCCAGGCTGTGTTTACCGAAGTCTCCCAATTAGCCTGAAGCAGAGTTAACAAGGTAGCATTCAAGGAGGCAAAGTGTTTCTGGCTGTACGGCGTAAAGGGCTGCTTATTCCTTGCCTCTAATTGGAATAAGAGTATCCTCCCTCTCCTGACCACTTCACTGGCATCTACAAACCTCCCTCCATGCCCATGATGTGAACTCCACTTACTGAATACAGGAGCTCATCTTTATGATCACATTTCCCACTGACTCTGAGTCTATAGCTAACACCCATGGAAAAGCAAAATCTTCCCAGAATCCAGCTTCATTTTTCAAAAACCTACTCTTGTCACAAGCATCAGCTTCTGGCAGATATTTAACAGAGCCAATCCTTTTGTGCTTCCCCCACATTTTCAGCTTCACTGCTGCTTTCATTAATTCTTCATTGCATACTCTGAGCACAGAAATTTTTGCAAGGCTAACAAGGAGCCTAATTCTGTTATTCCTTCTGATATAAGCCAGGTCTACCTGTGTTACCTGTGAATGTAACGTGTGGGGAGCCAGCACTGAAATAAATGTATTTCACAGAGTAGGTAACGTATTGTCTGAAGAGATGAAAGATGTTATTTATTTTTTCTATGCCTGTCTTTTCATGTCTTGGATACTCTTCTGTTGAAATTTTTTTATATTTTCAAGTGGTCTGTGTCCTTTTTGACATTATATCTTTTTGGCTGTCTTTCCAGCTCTACTCACTTCCCAAAATAACCACATTGTCACATAAAAGAAAGTGAAACAAAGATATCAGGCACTGATCTAAGTTGTCCAGATCAACAACAGCCTTGTGGAAATCAAGGTCAGAGGCAGTTTGCACAAGCAGGCATCAATGGTCATATTGCAAAAGTTGGACATTTTTCCATCAGTGTTGATTCCTGTAGCAGACATGCTTTAAGGTTGGATAAGAATGCTCATGGCCAGTTTATGGTTGCATATGCCTCTTATCCAGCCTGGTGGTGTTTTTGACCTTGACCATTTATTCTGTACATTGGTGGAGCCTTCTGCACAAATCAGTCTCCCTAAAAAGAAGTATGAACATGAAGTTTAAATATTTTTAACCTTCAACTTCTAAATTATATGGTGGTGATGTAAGAAGATCTGGTAACATGAGTCCGATTATTTCAATAATAAAGGGCAAATACAGGAAAATCCAGAGAATCTCAGAGGCTGTCATGACAATTTGCCTTTCTGTTAAATAATTTCACCTTCAAAATGGCAAAAAGTGGAAAAGCAAAGACACTATGTTTCTTTGATGAAAGTAAACACAAGGCATTACATAGATACTTTCTCTTGAGCTCTTAAAGAAATAAACAAATTTGTTTTGACCTGATTTTGCAAAAACATGTAGTACCATGTTACAAAAAGCCAGATGATCAGAGTGGTCTCTAAAAGCTTCCAATATGGTATATAAAAGTTGTAGCACTGCCTACAAAACAGCCTTTGGGCCAGAAAGTAGGAGAATTTAATCAAGTAAAATGATGAGAGGGAAAACTATGTTGTTGACACCGACTTGGTTGAGGAGATCCTGAGTTGCAGGTTGCCAGAGCTCAGATGGCTGTAACACAGAACACGCACTTGGTTGTCTTCTTCCAATGCCATCACCCTTGACATCTTACTGGCACCTGCTTAAAATCCTCCAGGACCTCCTGGAGGCTTGCCCGACTGCAGTGTGAATGTTTTTACATAACCTAAAGCAACTTGGAAGGGCAAATACACCTAGCAGAAGTTTGTTCAGAGTCAATAACTTGAAGCCACAAGGCCAAAAATTTAAGATAATTTACTGTAGTTTGTCATTCTGGAAAAATGAAAAGAAGCTGAACAGTAGAGGCTGTATTTTCTTGTGGAAGTACTGAAGTCTCCAGTTCTGATATTTGCTAAAATGAAATATTTACAGGACTAGAAACAATTAGGCTGTGTACAAGAAATATTGAATATCACCAAGAGAAGAACCATCATGAACAGTCTATTCTGTAAGTTAAATGAATTCCAGGAGTGATATATTGTCCAAAGAGATATGTCACTCCTCCATAAAATTATTATTCTTTTAAATAATTGAAAAGTGAAGTCAGCCACCTTGCACCAGAGCAGAACATAGTAGCAGTTATTTAAGAGGTTGAATCTATAGTACTTCTCTCCCATTGAATCCCATTGAATCTATAGTACTTCTCTCTTTTGATGTAAGCAATCAAATAATTGTACGAACAGATCTCAGCACCTGTGGATTGAGGAACTATTGAAATGTAATGATGGTCTCCTGAGGTCAGTTGCTTATGATTTAATGATGATGATTAATACTGAAAAGAGAGACTTTGAATCTGACCTTTCTTAGTCAAAAATAAAGGAAAAATCTTGAAGAATGAGAGTCCATGAGCTTGTTCCTGACTACATGTTCTTGTCAGGATAAACAGCTAAGCCTTGGTTAATGTGATAGCAAGCCTTCAAGCATAATGAGAATGTGTAATGGAATTTTTTTTTTTTTTTGTGGGGTTGTTATGAGATGAAAAGAAAGGAGTAAAACTCAAGACTAACTGGCACAATTTTTTCAGTGAAACTTGGGGAAAAGATGTAAAAACGTTTTGGATCACTTAAAAACAATGTATTAAAAATGTATTTTTTATTTGCAAACAAACATTTTAATCATTTTTATTTACAATGATTATAGAGAAATTTAGTGAAATTTATCTGAGAAAGGGACTCCATCTTATGTTGCCTAATATTCAATTTAACACCACCACCCCCCACCCCGGTGCAACTTGAGGCCATTTCCTCATCTTATTGTTTGTTACTTGGAAGAGGAAGAAATGTAATCAGAGGGTTTAGTCAAATAGGAGCCAGACTCAAGAAGATTTCAGATCATTCAGGGCTATGGCTTGGAGGCTCTGCAAGGCTTGACTTTCACTGTATCACTGCATCCTCTGACATAATCTGCCAGCCAAAAAAATTAACCTTTAGGTCAATCTCACAGACTTGCACAGCAGAATTGGCAGCAAAATCTATTTGGCAGCAAGAGTTTTCACAGAGAACAGTGTTCGTTACTCAGTTGGGTCCTTCACAGGTTATTTCTTTATTGACATGGATGGCAAGTATACAAATGTGACATTTTAAATTAAGACATAGTGATTTTTTTAGTCATTTTTTTAGATAAGAACTAAAGGACTTGTGGCTTCTTTTCTTGCTGTGTTAGTGAGAGGGATAAATATACTGCTGATACACCTTACAGCAGTACTCTGGCAGGGTGGAACCTAAAACAATATTTAAAAGACACTCATAGGAGGAAGATGTCAAGGAAATAGCACCATGACCAGAGAGTTTGTTTTCCAATGCAAATATAAAAATGGATCAGTTTTCAATGGGGAAAAATAAATTACTGATGTGACAATTATATTAACCATCTATTGTTGTTGTTAGGCTTTTAATTTGCCTTGTAATCTACAGCTATTATATTAATGAGATGAATAAAAATTGATTGTATTATGCATTAGAGAACAATCTAATTTTAACAAGCACGGGTGGGCTCTTGTTTTCTAGATGGTTTATTATTATGGTTTAGACTGGTTGAAGATTTATTGGACATGGATTGGAAAATGCCATTCTCTAATAAAGAAGAAATTAAAAATTGGCAAAAGAATTAATATGATCACTGAGTGCCAAACTGATAAAGACTTTCAGCAGTAGAGATCAGGTGATGCCTCATTAACTACCCCAGACTTCAGAAGAAATATGGTAGCATAATCACTTTAAAATTCCCATACTAATTAAAATTTTGCTTTCTTTTGCGCTGTTCTGTTTCTTTCTGAAGTACAGTAGCACACCCCCCACTAGAATTATTGCAGCTTTTAAAACAATGTGTCTTTTTCAATTGTTCATATTTAACACTGAGAGACTCCCCATTTTTTGCATTCTATTGGTTTGCTCAGCTTCTTCAGAGCTTATGCAAAGCAGCATACTTCTGTGCCTGGACCTCCGGTTAGTACAGTCAACTGCATCTCTGAAGAGATCTGTTTGTGATAGAACCAAACTTATTTTTTCTATTGTTCAAAAACAATGATTTTGAAAAATCACAGGTTTGCCAGTATTATGACTCTAATTTTGTGAACATTATGTCTCTATTTTTCTGTGCCATACAACTCTGGCTGAATGATGCCACTTAACTCACTGACAAAGCATCAGATCAGAAATTTAGGTGTTCCCAAATAGCACTGAAACAGTGAACAGATAATATTTTGCAGAACATTTTTTAATTAAATGCAAAATATTCATATGCATATATATATATTAATTTCTAGATGGCTATCCTAAAGAGGAAATGATTTACAGATGGAGGAAAAATTCAGTGGAGGCTGCTGACCAGAAATCTTGGAGGCTCTATCAGTTTGACTTTATGGGTCTCAGAAATACTTCAGAAATTGTGAAAACCTCTGCAGGTAAGAATGGTACAAATGGTAGTGCTTTTTCTGGAATTCAAATTATTTAAAAACATTTATCCTTGTTTTGTTTTCATTCAAGTGCAAATTGTTTTACTATGTTCCAATGTTAATTTGAGAAGCTGTAAATTTCATACCTCAAAAATATTGAATTTATCTTGATTTTTGATAATCCTTACTCTTCTAGTGACTTCATAAACTGAGGAAAAAGTGTTTGCTTGATGTGGCTATTTGTTGTAGACTTGAAGCTACTGTATGGTTCTCATTCCTCGTTTATTAGGCCACTCTTGTGTTGAATCTGTCTTCACCAAAAATTAAAGAGAAAGATTTTGAGCACAGTGGTAGGTTAGTGAAATTAAGAGACTTTCTGTACTTAATAATTCAGACAATGGTTTAATATTTTTATTTATATTTTAAAGACATTCTCAGTTGATAAGTGCCTTTGCTAGTAACCTTACCAAGTAATTGCAATTAAAATCTAATGGTGCCTATTCTATTTCTTCAGAAATATTGCTGTTTCTTATAATAACACAGTAATAGAGAGAAAAAAATATTTTAAATGGAATAGATATTATTTGTACTGGATAAATTGTGGTCACACCATGTCTAAACTGCAGTAAGCACCATCATTGCCATGATTTGGTAAGTTTCTCACAGTTGCTGAGGGAATCTGTTAGAATCTTAACAGGTGGTGAATTTTTTGAAAAAATATATTTTTTTTTTCAAAAGGTAAGCAAAGCTAAGCTATTGTTTTCAAAACACTGTGAATAACATTCACAATAAAAAAAAATTATAAATCTATGAAACTACTGCTGTTTAGTCCTGGCCCAGTCATTAACATCAGCAATGAATTCTTAAAATTGGATAGCAATTTTTGTAATGAAAAGTCACTAAATTTTTAGTGAATATGTTGAGCTGGTAGTTTAGCAGGAAAAAATGTTGCAAAGAGGACACATGTGAAAGTTCAATTTTGTTATGGATAGAAAACCTTTTAATTTGCAAGTTGCTCAGGAATGCAAATTTCCCATAAATTGACTCAGGTACAAAATGCTAAATCATTGAAGTATTTATGTATGTGCTTTAACCCCAGCTGGCAGCTTAACCACATGCAGCTGCTCATCACTTTCCCTGGTGGGATGGGGAGCGAATTGGAAGAATAAAAGTGAAAAAACTCATGGGTTAAGATAAAAATAGTTTAATAGGGAAAGAAAAAACTGTGCACCTAGGCAAAGCAAAACAAGAAATTAATTCACTGCTTCCCATGGGCAGGCAGGTGTTCAGCCTTCTTCAAGAAAACAGGGATGTTGGAACTAGATGATCTTCAAGGTCCTTTCCAACCCAAGCCATTCTATTATTCCATGAAAAAGAATTACCAAGTTAATATAACACCAGTGTCTTGATAAACAAATCTATTTAACTCTGTCAGGAAAAAAATATATTTATAGAAGTCTTACTTAAATAAATGGATGGAGCAGAGAAACCTATTTCTTATGTTCATTTTGGCATGTGCCCGCATCTTATAAAGATGAGTGAGTTGAAACATTATTTTTGTATAATTTCTCTTGCTGTTTCTGCTCAGCCATGTTTGTGAGTGCAAAATCCAACAGCAGTGTTTAACTCAAGTTACTGGAACCACATGATATTTCTATTCTCCTAGAGGCACCACAGTGACAGAAATTTGTTGACAAACTGAAGCTTATTCAAAAACTGAACTGCCTCCCCCACCAAAAAAACCCAAAAAATCCCACCAAAATAACCCAAGAAACCCAGTCAGGAGATTGTGGAGGCTAACTTGGAAGAAACAATGTAAAATGTATGTGTCATATTGTCACCTGTAGTTATTAGGTTAGAAAACTGAGTTGTGCATTTCACCAGATATCTAAAATAGGTGTCAAGAAACATATGAGAGACATGAATAAATCCCTGAGTTTGCACATGGACCTGAGTTTTCATGAAATAGACTATATTTTGTTACTCTGTAGCTTAAGGTAATTTCAAAAGCCAGATTTACTGAATGTCAACAATATTTACTGTCAATAGCACACCAGGGCCAGGACTTAAGAAAAAGTAAATACATTGGAAAACTTTGAGTATGCCCCATGTTGTAGTGTAAGGAGTACCAAAATAGAGTGAAGGGGGCAGGACACAGTGCAGTGTCTCTGACAAAATTCTGCAAGTACCTGTTGTGTCTAAATATATGTGAACAAATAGGATAAAGGGTCATCTGTACTCTGGGACGTGCCTGTCTACTGAAGTAAAGCCCTACCCAAGAAGAGAATTAGGGAACCCACAAAGCTGCTGTTTCCTACTGTTAGGACAATCTGTGATAAAGGCTTCTTACAGGTGTTACATCTCCTTTAAAGCCATGCCACGGAGGGCTGCAGGTGGTCAAAAATAGATGCCAAGTTCTGACATGGAAGATCTGTGACATTTTTACATTCAAACTACCTGGAGAGGAAGATTGCCCTGAGGCTGCCCCTAGGACACTATGGGGATAGGACTCACTCTGAATTTATGCTGCTCCTCAGAGAAGCCATTCCTACCCTATAGGTCTGTCTGGGGCCCCTCTGAGACCTGTGGAAGCCCATAATAGTCCCAGCAGCCACCACCCCTTTGCAGGCTCGGGACAGAAAGGAAGAGCAGCATTGTTTGGAGTGCGGCACAGGGGATCATTCCAATTAATAAGGTGGAGTTGAGAGAAGGGAGGAAGGCTGGATACCACCAGCAGCTTTCTTAAAAAAAAAAGGTACTAAACATCATCTCTTTCTCCCAAGGAAAATTATGGAAACTACTATTACAGAGGGAATTTAAAAGCAGACTAGGCATAGCATGAGAAGATCTACTGCAGAGACCAGTCCCACACTAACAAGAAATGGATTAAAAACCCCAACTTCTTTTTTGCTTACACCTTCCTGCTTGTTTATGACACTATTACTTCTCACTAAATTACATCTATATAATGTGAGAGCTGCTGCAGTGCTACCTTCCTATGAACAGCTTGGGGATCTCTTTTTAGCTTCTCTTCAGCCATGTTCTGGGTATAATGAAGAGAGGTCACACTGACCACACAGCAGCTTGCTGTGTTCTTCATTTGCATTAAGCCCTTTCTTGGTATTCATTTTCACAACAGAATTATTAGATTTAAGACTTGGAAGTGTTCTGCTTTTTGATTTTTTTCAATCTTTCCAAACCTTTTTCAGACATTTAAATAACCTTTATGTTAATCTATGACAATTTCAGAGGTACATGATTAAGAAGCCAGCTGTCACAGAGTGCACTCCAGAAGTTCAAGCAATGCGTAAAATGTCATCTTTTGCACTGAACCAGCAGTGGCCTAAATTATTAACACAGTGTTGTACTTTGCTCTGTTTTTTACAATAATCTGGCAGCCCAAAAAGTCTTCATTGCCACCTGGAAAAAGTGTACATATTTCTTCTGAGAGTATTTTTTTTTTAATTTCATGCTAAGATATAAGCACACAAAAAAAAATTAAATATCTACTTCAAATGATGATTGCATGCACTAAACAGCAGAAATCACTGTGCTGGTGGTATGGTCATGGACATATATCTGGAACCCTAAGAAAGTTCTCACTGTCAGGTGATACCAAATTAATTCACAAATACTGACAAATTCCTCTGTTGCCATCTGGCAAGGTACTCAGATACTGTAACAAGAGCACTTGCTACAATGTCAAATAAGGCTGACAAGGATAATTAAAGTGGAGGGAGTACTAAGCCGCCTGTGAGAAGGACAAACTGCATGTGTAGAAAAAATGTGCAGATTTTAAAACTGCAAGTCAGCCAATGGAAAGGTGACCAGAACAACAGGAGAAAGAAAAATGTCATCTTTAAAAGCACTCTGTGAGTTTGCAGTAAACTTCAGGTTTCTGAGTTCTAGACATCCCAAATACACTTTGACGGGGGTGGGAGGCCAGGTGGGACATAGGAGGGGAACAAAGACCAAGAAAAACCCACAACAGAATTATGGAGGACTCCACAATTAAAGCTCATGGAGTGAGTTGTAGTGCTGCTTGCACTTTTCTGTCTCCCTCAGAAAGTCTATTCATTCTTTTAAAAGAATCACTGTTATCTATCACTGTTAGATAAATACAAAGACCCTGTAACTCTTGAATCTTATTTTCATTTACTTAAAAACTTCTTTGCATCATACAAGTATTGTTTGTATTCTTTCTCAGATGCCTTTAGCCTGACAGATTTTTGCAGTTCAAAGGGCCTTTGCATAAATAAATTCAAGATCATTCATCAGAAATAGAAAATATCAATAAAAGCACCCTATTTTAAAAAATTACAGCTGATTATTACAAAATATATATAGAAAGCTCCATTTCATAGATTCTGAATTTTCCCAAGCGTCAATGCTGAAAGTCAATAAATAGCCATAACAGTTGCCATAAGAAGGAGAACCTTTGTTCACATATCATGGATAGGTGATGATTAATGGAGTCTACCTGTCATACAACTTCTAAATTGTGCTTTGTGTTTCGAAATTGCTGTTTCATAAAGTACTTCAGCTTAAATGATGCTCTCAGCATCATTTAAAGTACATATTTTCTTGCAGAGTACTCAGTAAATGACAAGTACAAGGCTACTACAGAGCAAAATAAAGCAAACTTTTCTTTCAAGAAAATGCAAATATCTACATACATATATACATATCTACATACATGTATACATATATACATATATGGCTACTGGCAGAGGTGGGAAGGGACACACATGGTTTTATAGGAATGCCAAATTTCACTAGGAGAGCCCCCATCAAGTCAAATGTGTTCTTGCAGCACAGAAAACAGATGGGCTCCATCAAAAGCAGCATGACTGGCATGTTGAAGGAGGTACCCCTCTCTTCCACTCTAGTGAGACCCTACATGGAATATTGAGTCCAGCATTGGGGCCCTCATAATAAGGACATGGACCTGTTGGAATAAGTCCAGAGGAGGGTCATGAAGATGATCAGAAGGCTGGACAACTGTCCTC